CCCTCGGCGGGAGTGCCGCCGCACTCCCAAGTGGCGCACTGTAGCAGTGCGCCACCGGGCCAGCCCTAAAATGCTTTTTGAATAATCTGTAGCTTGGGCCTCTACAGCAAGCATTTATTAATCACCCACTCCAGGCAGGCACTGGGCTAGGTCCTGTGCCTAAGGCAAGACAAAGACACTGCCCCTGCCATAAGGTTACCTTTGATTTTCTGTTGCTATTGAACAAGTCTGTCTTTATGATTGTGGTTTTTCCATCCCTAAGAGTTCTAATTTTGATGCTCTCATCTTAACTAGGGTTTTGTGAACATATGATTGTGTGCAAAATAGGCTTGAACTCTGTAGAGGAAGGAATTGTTTGAACACAGAGTGCTATTTCTCAGGAAATGGGCCACTCTTGCCAAGCCTGCAAGGAAAGGCAGGAGGAGATAACTGGCCACACTTTTGTGCCTGGGAGGAATGTGGGTGTCTGCTCAAGAGGTGGGGCACTTGATGTCCCAATGAGATCTTGATTACATTATATGTAGCCCCTAAATGACCATTTTGGGGGGTCACTTTTTCTTTTCCAGGGTAAGCTAAACCTGAAGGAGTTTGATGACTCTGTGAACACGAAAGAAGACAGGATTCTAAAACTCTGTTCTGCCCCCAGTGACCTGACTGACAAGTTGCTGGTGAACTTTGTGAATTTTCTGGAAGAGGTTTCCACAGAGGAAGCCAGAAAGGGTCAGGAAAACATTTTGGGAGGGGAAAAGAATGAGTATGTGACCTCCCCCTACAGGCCGCACGGTCCCTCAGGGAAGAGCTGTGAGGAGTCCCTGGTTTCCACCAAGATTCCTCTCAGAGAATGCCAAGACCTGTGTTTGGGAATGCCTGAAGGGACCTGCTCAGAAGTCAAAGAGCAACTACTCTCTTTGGATCAAAGTTTAGGGCCAGACCGAGTCTGTGAGGAAGGAGCATCAAATCCATACTTGAAAAATTCAATGACAACAAGGGAATTTCTTGTGTCTGAAAAACCTCCAGAGCCCATTGAGAGAGAAGTCTAAATGCCATGGTGTTGTGAAACCCTCGGAGTCGCAATGTGGATGATCTCTGCTGAGAGAAGATATCAAGGCTCAACAAGAAGCACTTCCTTGGTCTCCTCCCCATCCTGCCTGGGTTTAAAGAAAGCCTCCCCTGCTCCTGAGCTGCTAGTTGAGCTTGGCTGGCACAGATGTGAACTTGGGCTGGGAAGAGGAAGTCATGATGTTGAGCCCAAGTGCCTGGTAGAGGAAAAGCAATTTCTTTTCTTTTGTTCAGATAACAAGCTCTCACTGACGCCTCCTGACAGATTGACTTTGAAGGAAGGGCTCAGGTTCTAAGCCCAGAGGAACCCTGAG